CAGAGCCCTTTGAAGGCTGAGGTCGTAAGACTTGCAACGAGATCACATAGGAGCTAGGTGGTCGCTTCCCACTGTCAGTGTGCACTCGCCGTGCCCCTCGGCTTAAGGAGCCCCACATTAAGCCTTAACTCTCAAGCCCGAGCCCGCTGTGCTCGTCATAATTTTGCACCAATAATGCCAATAACAAGTCCTTGTCCAGTTCAAAAACTTTTAAATTTGCCTGACGGAGACGAACCAGCTGCTCCTTACCCGATTTCAGGTCGTGAACTTTAACAGCAGAGGGAAGTGAAATTCACTAGTTTTTTCTTTTTGTTTATAGAGTGCATTTTGTCTAGCAATGGGTTTCTAAAAATAATGCAAGTTGCAATGGTGTTGAAGCAACGCGGCTCGGAAACAGGTTTTTTGTGCGGTGGCACTGTTTCATCAAACAACATTTCCCCGACAGTTTGTTTCATCAACACTGCGACATTTTATGAACACATTGTTTTATCGACGTATCTTGCTATGTTTCATCGACGACTTTTTTTTTTTTTGGTTAAGGGTGCGCCAGTGGCGTCACAAAGGGGGGGGGGGAGGGGCTGATCGCCCCGGGTGCAGCGCTCAAGGGGGCGTCGCGGGGGGGGGGGGGAGGGGGGGGGGGTCACGGCAGGCTACTGCCCCGGGTGCTGCTGACCCTCGGGACGCCACTGGGGTGCGCTGGTCTGTTGGTGAGCAAGGGTACAGGTACATGGACGGGTGCGAGACCACCCGTACACACTGCTGCGAAGTGGCTTGCACGGGTGGGTTGGGCGAGTTCACATTTTTGTAATGAACTGCCGCAGACTGTCGCTGCGAAGCGTCGTGAACTGGGTGGGTTGGATAGTTTAATACATACCCCAGTGATAAACGCACAACGAAATGTTCCTTCAGCGTGCAATTGCGTGTCGATGAAACTTGACAGCACGGTGTGGTAGTGTTGATGAAACGATCAGTGTCAATGAAACGATCAGTGTCGATGAAATGTGTCACTAACGCAACAGGGACCCTTTTTACTGATGATTCTATGGAAGCTCTAAAAATGAGGACTGCAAAGTTTCCTCCAAGAAGAAGTTCGATATGTTTTCTATATGAGTCCGACTTTGCCAAGTAGACCCGAAGGAAAAGTTGGTGCGTGTTTGCCAGCAATACCTTAGGCCGCAACGCGAGTGGGGGTGCACGCGTCACATACCCGGGTTTCGAAGCATAAACATACAACTGACAGGGCCTCTGAGTGCAAGCAGAATGTTTAGTGCAACATTTATTCTTTCACATATGTACAATGTCTCTGAACAGACCACAGCAACTTCACTCGAGTGCAAACCTTACAGTACTTCCCATCTGGGCACAACTTCACTCTCATTGTATAAATCTAAAGCACAGTGAAGCGTGTCATCTTCTTCAGCCTTCACGAGTTTCAGCTCGCTAGACTTGCGCACCTGATAGCAAAACCTGTGCCGATCAAAACCTTCGCTCGTTAGCAATTCAATCAAAATGAATAGCTTGCGTTCGGCAACATACAGAGCTTCCACTCTACAGAAGTGTGGCTCGGCATCCTGGGAAGGTTTCACCAGGACAGTACCACACCGGTACTCACGGTGGTCGAGTGACGCACGCGACACCTGGCGCGCACTCAGTGGCAGGACTCCTTGAGCGCAAGGAGGTAGAGCGCTCTGCTCAACTGGCTTGCCAGATGGGGTCACGAGGTCAGAATCAAATGAAAACTCCTTCAGCTGGTGACTCAGCATCAGCTGATGCCGTGTTGACAGGGTTCGAGTGATGTTGCGGAAGTTCTTGACGCGCGAGGCGAGGCTCTTAAAATATTGATGCTTGGCCTCAAATCTCATTGACCAAAACTGTGGCAGCGGTCCAAGTTCTCGAATCAGTCTGGCGTAATGCACCAGGTAGTGCATCTTGGGAGTTATGGCTGCAGCACCATATCGCTGTGCAAAGTCCACGAGAAAGGTCTGCACAGTCGTCTCTAAGTACGGAAGGTACTCGCATGGTATTACCGTAGCAAAGACGATGTCCACAATCTCGCGGAACTGCAGATATAACTCCCAGTCCGCATCACCTTCTGGGACCAGGTCCCCAAGAATCAGACCCAGGAGTCTGAGAAGGCACCACTTTTCAGAAGCAGTGCCCTTCAGGTTCGCTTTGCTTGTCAGAAAGGACCTGTTCATTGCAACAGGCTTGTTCTTTTTGTCATTCCATCCGTACTCGAATGAAGCTATGTAATCCAAATCGCTGTATGCCAGCGTGCCCCCCTGAACTAATGCCTTCAAAACTTGTCGGAGAATGCACTCAAACCCCCCTTCCAAAATGTCATGCATCAGGTCGGGAGGCAACTGACGCGTGACGTCGAAGTAGGGCAGTTCCAGCAGTATGGAGCGTTCAGTGACACCATAAAGTTTCTTGTTGGCGATCGGATTAATAGCAATGGCTTGCAGGTGCTGCTCATGTGCCTGAGCTGAACGCAGGGCACAGGAATCCTCAGTTGTGACCTCTAGCAGACTTTTAGATGCCGCCATACAAAAGCGGCATACCCTGCCCTGACTAAAACAGCATGAAAACCCTCCAAGGCGGTTCATGGACAGATTGTCTCCACACACGCATAGCACAAACACTTGTGCATTGCGCACTGCTCCTCCGCTCGTGAACGTAAGCCCAGATGAGTGCAGTTCCTTAAGATCACTGATGAATGGCTTCAGAATGACGTCCAAGCCATACTGCTGTACATCTTCATACTTCACAAGGAGCACCAGGTAGATGGATCTCAGCTGTGACCTGTGCCTTGGATGCAGGTTCAGCAAGGTGAAATACACGGCGAGCAGCTTATGCACGCCCCGTTTCGCTCCTAGGGGGTTACATATCTCTACCTCGTCGCTGTATAGCATCAGAAAAATGGTGTACTGCACTCCTTCCGCAATAAGATCCCTGAAATCTTGGAACAGGAGCCCATCAGTGAAGTCAGCATACACCTTGGGGTCGTCACGGCGCAGTTGTGGTGTGTAGATTTGGGCAGCGATGTCAGGAACTTCGCACAGCTTTGCAAGGAGTCTCGGGACTGGAACATAGTGATAGCAGCCCCCTTCAGTACCGAGATCACATTTTACTGGCTCGACATATGGAAAATGTGTCTTTGCATATTGTTCTCTCATGTGTTTGCTTTGTATCCCCTCAAAAAGGCGGGGCAGGAACGAACATTCCAACAGTGAGATGGCATCTGGGGACAGAGTAGACGCATCAATCTTGGCTGCGATTTCAGCAGCATATGCCTTGATGATGCGCTCAAAAACAGGTTGCAGATTGCCGAAGATTTTTTCGGCCACAGTGTGTGCCAGTTTGTGGTTTTCAGTTGTGTTGAAAAAGAAGTTCCAAATAGCAGCTTTGGCTGCTGTCACAAAATCGCTGAACTCTTCTCTTTCTGGAGATCCGCTGCTTTGTTGCGGCTGGGGCGCTTGTGGCATTTCAGCATCGTCACTCAGAACCCCTTGGTCAGTGGCTGGGCAGTCCTGGATTTCATTTCTTCGGTCGCGGTCGAAGGCACTTCCAGTGCTTTCCAGCAGATCCCTGTGACACCGATAAAGGTGAGTTTTGTACGATGAAAACCGGTTGTAGCTATTTGTGCAACCGGCGATTCCACAATATACTGTGAAGTTGTCGTCACCGCTATGAACGACTCCGATGTGGTTGACCACCTTCGTGAACTGTTCAGAAAAGTATGGGCACCTTGGACAGTATCTTATTACCATTTTTCTTTACGGAACAATAAGCAACTTGTGAACGACACGTTAGTAAACCATGGTATTTGGTTTCGACGCGAAGGCACGTTGTCGAGTACTATTACAGTAGTTCACTGTAGTAACATTCAGCACCATTCACACCATGATACCACAGTGTTGCCAGACGGCTCCACAAAAAACCGCCAAATCGCTGGGGAGTATAGCCCAAATATAGCCAAAGCCAAATATAGCCTAACTAGCCATCCTTATCCATAAAACAAAATATAGCCAAAACTAAAAACAATTATTTTAAAGCCTTTTACTGTCAATTTTCACGCGCATACAAGACACGTTGCATTTTCTTTTTCAACCCTCAGGTGCACCACACTTTGTGCACATTATGTCCCTTATGAAGGTTTCAAAAATTTGTTTCGGAAGGATAAAGATCCGTGCAGCACTGACCCTTCCTTTGTAGGTTTTCAGAAATACAGAACAAACAAAGACAGCTTTATTGTGAAGTCCGGGAGATATGATCATACAGTAAAAGAACAAAATACAGAAGGAGAACAGTAAGAACACTGTTTCAAACCAGAACCCCAATATCTAACACGGACACCCGTCTCATTTTCTTTGTGTAGAATATGTGTGTCCCCCATTCCTGTTCACTGTGCTTTGTTGGGGTGGGCGACGACTGGAAGGTAGTCAATTGTTTAGCGGTGAAGCTGCGGACTTCTCATTCTTAGGAACTTGGGTGCCTAAGGATTCTCAAATATGGGCATCAAAGCAGCGTTTGGAAAGTTCAGTCTAGGTTCAGGTAGAAGACGTGCTACCGGGCCTGTGGCAATAGTGCAATTTGTTTGGTTAGCTCCACTGCACTGTGAGAAGACCGCTTGAACTCTGCAAGCATTGCCTCTGCGCATTGTGAAAACCCCGAAGTTTGAAACCAATTGGCGACTCCCTAGCCGGGGGGAAGGGGCAGAAGAATGATGTTTAGTTTTTTTGTTTTTTTTTGCCCGATCCCTTGAAGGTTATCCTGGTGATATCCCACGCTGCCTGGTGATAGTTAGGGGGTTGAAAAGGCGGGAGAAATCACGTTTTTGTCTTTTTAGACTTAAACTAGGTGGCGCAAGCTACCGCCCGTTACAAAGGGTATAGCCGTTAACATTTATCCACCCGCTAGCCGAAACTGGAGCCAAAATCAGATTGACTAGCAAGATAGCGAAAATGTTTTCTTATATTATTTTTGATTATGCAGTATTGAATTGGTACAATGTAACAAAGCAAAAACGCCTTATGACCCACAATTTTGTAATAAAAACATCACCACGAAAAACTAAAATTATCCAGTCCACGTGCAAGCCGCGGCTTGCGCGGCTTGCACGTGCGTGCTGAGACCAACGGTTGTGTGCCCGTAGCCCTACCGCCCTACATCCGGAAGCGACAACAAAAAAGGATCGGCGCGCGGTTTCCACAACGGCTGCGTGGCTGCTTTGTGGTTCAAAGCGAAAGCAGGGAACTACGTTGCTACGTTGGTTGGACTTTCTCGGCGTTCCCGCATCACCCTATCTTTTCCAAGTTCGGCGACGGTTTCCTCAGCTGTGGAGACCTCAGTTAACGAGCGTGGCTGGCGTGGCTTAACGCGGAAGTGGTGCAATGAGCGCGATTGAGTGCTTGGTGTCGTACGGCGCACACAAGATAGTTGTCGTTGTTGACGGAGAGCATAAGCGCGCCGATTTAATTCGGACCCCTGCTGGCAATGTGCTGTTCCAAGGAGTGGACCTGCAAACAAGCCACATCCAGGTGAGCTCACTTACGTCATTTGTGCTTTGTGCGGGGTCAGCGTGGGACCGGGCAGCACTTGTGTAAGAGTGCGGTACGATGAAGAACGAACTTGAAGCTCCGAATCCAGCACGCGCTCATGGCCATTCTCCGCGTGCACGCTTTTGTAACCAAGGCTACAAAGCTCTCGCTGGAAGTGGAGCTTTAGTACGTTCTTAAACTTTGTGGCAATGAAGTCAAAGCTATGTGCGATCACGCAACTTGAGCGCCGATTAAGACTGTGCAGGGGCTATCCTCGTCGGATTCGCGGCAGAAAGTTGCCCGCGAGAATCTGCGTCTCCAACTAAGCAAACGGCACCAAGCGTTTGAAATGCCAAGCCTGGGTCTCGCGCTGGTGCGCCCTTCTACATAAAATTGTTTGGTCAAGCACATGCTTTTAGGCCCTCTCTAAACTGCTTCGTGATTTCTCCACCACATGACCGAACAGTTTATGTAAAAAGGCGCATTAGCACGAGACCCTCGCTAGACATCTTGGCATTTCAAGCGCTTGGTGCCTTTTGCTGAGTTGGAGCTCGCCCGTTCGATGCTCATTGAAATCGAAACGGGTTCATGCGTGGATCGAATACAGGATCACTAAACTTTTCAGCGCTAGCCCTTTCTACGTGTTCTGAGCTGTTGGAAGTAATCTTATGACTATGCCCACAGTGTAATTTTTCTTTTGTAAAAATTTACGCTGAACTACACACCGGCTCACTGAAAATTTCCTTTCATATTTTTTGAACCAAGTAATGTCGTGTTCTTAAACTTCAGCATTTTGTACAGGCAGCTAGCGTCAGGGTATGGCGGAGGAGTATCAGCTTTCTGCGATGCATCACCACTTGTGACCAGGAGGCCGTTTTAGGATATGGATACGTGTAGGCCCGTCAGAGATTTTTGTGAAGTGTTCTCTGGTTTTACTTGTGCATACCTTAGGTTACGTGTGTTGACAGTGATGCCTATAACTTTCCTTTCATTCTTTTGTCGCACAAGGTATACCATCCTCGGTATAAAACAGATGTGGACCTCATGGAGGGCACGATCCTCGAGGATGCAGCGCTGGTAACCATTTCTTTGGATGAGTCACAGTTCAGGTGGGTAAAAATGCTTGCAAAGACTGAAGCAGTCAGGCATGTGTGCTTCAAGTGCTGTTATCAGGACTGACAACAACGATGCCTCTGCAAGAAAATGTTCAAGACTGTCTCTGTAGCATAATTGGGCTCAACTTGTTTTTGACATCATGTATAGATGCTGGCTTTTAGCAGTTGAAACCGAGTCTTCTAGGTAGAAACAATGCAGCTATAGTTGTTTGCACTTTTGACATGTTTTGGTTTCCCTGTGGGATAAAAGATAACATATACACGTGTCTGTGTGAACAAGTTATGACCTAAAATTTGGTTCCTGTACTTCAAAACAAATTAAATCAAGGGCATTCTTTTATTCAAAATTGTTCAGTGTTTTTTTTTTCTTTATTTTTACTGAAGCGAATATGTTTTATTTTATATATCTAGAATCATGGATGTCGTCATTCAAGAGGACTCTGCACCATCGAAAGCTCCGTCGAAAGCTCCATCGGAATACAGGTTTCCAAAAGTGCCATTGGACATCGCGCAGGCATTACAAAAACACACGAGGGGGCAGTACCTGCCTTGCCGATCGAGGATCATTCAGTGGCTCTTCCACGACCTGTGCCTCTACGACCTGTAAGTTCAAGTTGGGACTGAACTAACTCCTAATTTAGTGGCTCAAATGAGCACATGTGCATATTTTGTTTTTATTCTTTAGACAGCTCTTTGACAAATCAACACAAATCCAATCTTCATATTTTGGCTCTCTGGCAGGAAACACTGGGCACGCTTCTTTCTTCATCATAAATGGTGATTAATGCTCCTATTCATTGATTTTTCCAATTGATGGCACTATGTCTCTCCTTTACTTGTGCAGGTACCCGGATAAGCTCTATGCCGAGGCCGCAAGGTGCCTTGTGGAAAACTTCCCAACTCTGAAGGACACCACAGGATCTGGTTTTGTGAGTAACTAGATGCAATTTCACTTTAATTATTAGCCTGCACTCATTTAAACAAATGTGTACGAAGTACTCGCCAAACATTTAAAGGACACATGCAAAGGAAAAAAACTTTTTTTTTAAATGGCTTACGTGGAAAAAGGATGTCATAAAACGATTTTACAACGAAGAAAAAGTGATTGGTGCTTACACTAGGTGCTGGGAGTCCCCATCTAAGAGTGCATGCAAGGGCTCTAGCCGCTAGGAAATGGTTATACACCCCGTGCGGGACCTCTAAGGGGCGCTTTGAAAACCGCACGCAGCGCCACTTGCAGTGCGGCTGGAGGCAGTACTGAGAGTCGTAGCAGAAGACTTTGGCTCTTTGCTTCGGAAGCTATGGCGGCGCAAGTGCCCGTGGCAGGAACATTTGTCCTTCGAGCTGGTTTTAAAGATATTATAGTGGGATCGTTCTTCCGCGATGCCACACAAAGAAAGGCAAAAAACTTAATTAAAGTTTTTTGCCGAACGGTTTGCTATGGCGACGTCAGTCTTTAAGGTCAAATGTGTGCGTCTCGCAAGAAGCTTACTTCATAATTATTTAGTTATAGCCCCTTCCCCTTGCAAACCCGGAGCGCTCGCAGATTCAGAACTTCGAGCATCCAGTCGCGAGCAATCTCAGCGGCACACGCAGCAGCCAAGCGGAGATGCTCTGTCCAGCGTCGCCGTCACCGCCTGCCTCGCTGCCAGCCGAGACCTCCGACGCTCAGATGCCCCGTGATCGGAAAGCCGTCCCGGGTGAGGGCGGTTTTATCTGAAATGCAAAACATACCGCTTGGTTCTACAGCCTTTGACTCTTCCCACGAAATAATAACCAAGGATGCTCAGCGCTCTCGTGTACGTATACGCGCATGTTGATTCCAGCTTCGGGTACTTGGCGCGAACGTCACCACAGACGGCGGTCGGCATGGTCGGCACCGCTTAGTCGACATTCGAACAGCTTGTAAAAAAGACACATCCAACTGATGTTGTCATATCGAAAAGTACTGCTACCGTAACCGGCGCAATCGCTGTCGTGTAGCTGTGACAGAAACGGCATAGAAATCAAAACCAATGTATTGCGAGTGGCTGCAAATCAAACTTCACGCGTGCGAGCGTATGCGCCGTCGCTATATAGCGAGCACCTCCCAACCGCTCCCTGCACTCCACCTCTTTCGGGCAGAGTGGTTCGAGTTGCACAGCGAGCGCCCGACCGTCTCCAGATCTGCAAGTGACACAGACACACATCGCTCGCGATTTTCAAGGGCCACAGGGATCCGCTTGGCAAGCGCGCCGAGCGCTCCGGATTTGCAAGGGGAAGGGGCTATTAGGTTGTCACGCCTTCATGCTCAGAAAGTGATTGGTGCTTACACAGTACCCGTGTACTTGCAAAACGTTAAATCCTTTTAGATTTACTGATGACCCAGATGCAACCGCGGCGTTCCTATGTTGTGACCGCGGCTTCGGTTCATGACGATTTGCAGTAGAGTCGCCGCGTCTCACGCAATGCTTCACTTAAATTTGTCGCTGCAGTGTAACAACCTCTTTCTTTGTTTATCTTGCTTGCCAAAACGTAAGCCTGATTTACACATGCATGTTCGAAGCGACCAAAGCGACTACAAACAACAAAAACTGGCTGGAGTGATGAGCCTAGCAATGCTCCAAGCTCGTCGTTCCGGTCGTTTGTAATTGCGGTCGGGTCGAACGTGCATGTGTGAATTAAGCTTTGAACTTTGGCATGCACTTCTATCATTACAGGGTCCGCACAGTGCACTTATGCGGGCCGCAAAGCCGGGCTTTGTTTTTTCCGGCAGACCCTGTAGTTTTAATAGCCCTGCTACTCTTCGTTGTACCTTCATTCTACCAAGTACTCGTAGCGCTGCGGTGCCGCAAAGTTTTTTTATGTGATTAATATCCTAGCTAACTCAATCCACTTTTAAATGGTCCTAGCAAATAAAATAAAACCTGCACAGCTCTGGCTGTCCTTGCATTGTATTCCCAAATTTTGTAAATCTGGCATTTTTATAGTGAGAAAGCTCAGGGGTAGACTCATTACAATGTTCCCTCAATTTTGTTGAGTATTAAAATTTCTTGCATGCATGTTTCTTTTCTCTTCAGCTAGACGACAGCAGGAACATCACGCAAACTCACTGCACTTGTAGAGGTGGTGTCTAATTTTCGTAAAATGTACAAATTGGTACTAATTTTACGATTTTACAAATCTTGCTTTACATCTTACAAAAAATAAAAATTATAAAAAAAAATTTGTAACATCTTTTTTTGTATAATTGTTGCTGGCGGTATCTTGCACCACCACAAGAGGGCGATACGTACCGTCCATGGCAGCGTCATGGTTTTTACTATCTGTCTATCCGGTGGTCATGTATCCAAAACCAATCCAAAGCCCAAAGCCTTTGTTCGTGTGTTCGACAGCGCTTGTTGGTTCGGCGTGTTCAGACGTGGTTGGGCGTTTCTGGTTCGGCCAGTTTCGAGGCGAGGAGTGCGGCCTCTGTGTTTGTTGCACATGTAATCGTAGCATTCCCCTGGTCGCGGGGGCTTCGCGGCTCAATGGCGAACTCCAAACCTCAAAAGAGGTACTTTCAGGTGTTCATGAAGCCCTACACGGTGGAATTCCCGTGCCTCATGCCGTATAAAAAGGGAGAGAAGTTTGGATTCTGTAACACGTGCATGTGTGATGTAAGCGTTTCGCACGGTGGCAAGGCTGACATTAAGCTGCACATCGTTTCGCGTAAATCTCCCGGCGGTGGCGGAAGTTTTACGAATTTGAAAGTTCACAGGTTGGCAGGTATGCTGCTGCTGAATGCTTTCACATGTTCAGCAGCGCGGATTACTGCCATACGACAAATTCTTTCATTGCATTTTTCCGAAAACAGTGTACTGTTGTTGCTGCCCGACAAAGCGCAGACGAGTTGAGAAACTGTGAAACTACGTCCCCGTGGGGCATGACGTGTACCTGTTGGTACAACCTACCACGCAGCAATTCATGATGCCAATTAACAGCGCATTAACGACGCAGTGGCGGCTCCGCGGCGGCAGAATTGGTATGGCAGCGGCAGCGGCACGGCGAGGTTTCCCTCTACTAGGATTCTCGAAGCCTATCTTCTCTGACAGCTGCGTGGCGGCACATCAGCTGCCGTACATGGAGTGTATGGACGTTTAAGGGATGGAGGAAGGTTCTACGCTTTCAAACATGGCGGCCTCAGTGAATGGGCGGAGATGAGGGTTCTGCGGCTGAACCGAATTTATTGATGAAACTATCGCATTTACAAAACAAAGTTGGAAGATATGTAATAACGTCAAATGGGTTTCAGCAGCATAGTTTCAAGCAAATGGTCTTTAATAGCTTGGTTAGGTGAAGTCCTCTTATTCAGTGTGTTGCTAGAATGTGATATTATGGTAGATATGTTTCTTAATACATGCCCATGTGAGATGTGATGTGCTGTATACAAGAGATACCATTTTGCCAGGATTATTTTTAAACAAGCTCTCTGAAATTCTTTTTTTGTGGGTACATCCAGGACTCCTGGCGCGTTGCCATGCGATATAAAGCAAAACGTGAACGGTCAAAGCTGCGGATGCAGGACAACACTGAAAAGCAGGCTTCACCGCGGAATCAGCCGCGGGCATCGAGGGACCCTAACCCAAAGCGGGTGACGAGGCCTGGGACGGTAGGAGAGATTGTTTCATGGAGACTCTTTTCTATTTTAATGGGGCACTAAAGTGCTTTCTTTACATCCTCGTTTTATGGTCACGAAGGTAGAAGAAGCATCCCAAAATATCTAAAATTACTAACATGTGCGGCCAATTTGCATATTAAAAAAAGTGATCAAAGATCCTGACATCGTTGACACAGAATGACTGACGGCGCTCGTCAGCTACTCGCAAGTGATGGGTTCCCACGTGGAGTCATGACCATAAAACGAGGTTTCAAAAAGCACTTTAGTGCCCCTTCAAGAATTGGTAAGCCTTGATACTAATTTTTTTACTTTTGTGTAATATATTTCAGAACATAGTGCTGCCAGCACATGGAGAGGATGCCGAAAGCCTGCAGGGCCATATCATCAACATGGAAAAAGAACTGCGAAAAGCAAATCCAAATGTCGCCTATGTTTCCGACTCCATGTCGAGGACACTTGCTACACGGCGGGCATGGATAACCACTGATCACCCAAGTGTGGCAGCCATTGTTGCAAAATACCCTGCTTTTGAACATAGCAGTTTTGTAAGTATTATTGAAGGTAGGATTTTAAAAGGGCTGTGCAACTATTTTAACATTAAAAAGAATTCTTAGTTTGTAATTTTTAGATTGTTTACCTTGTCAAGTGATAGAAGTAGCTTCTCTTTCCTCGGAAATAATGCCATAACTTTGAGGAATCGAAAAATGAAAACGGACTATTTCTCTATCTGCATTCGCAACGTGGCGGCAGTGTGAAACATGTAGCACTGCATTACTGAGGGATGATGTTATAAGTGTCCTCTCTGTTGGGATGGTGGCACCATCTCCTTGTGTTGGACTAAAACCATGTTCTACGCTCTTTTGCCTGTCGTGCGACCTTGACGTCAGTGGTGCTCATATCTTACTTGCGTCACTACCACGGGAACCGGACGTCTCCTCGAAATTAAAAAAGCGTCTTACGTTTGAATCTTTTTTTTTTTTTTTTTTTTAATGAAAATTTGGGCTTGTAGGAAAAAAAACTGTTTTCTATTCTAGAGATGGTGAAGACTAACTCCCAGGCTTAACGTCCCAAAGTTCGAAAATTGTTGCACAGACCCTTTAAACAGGCACTGAAGACCGTTTTGAGATCCTCATTTTGAGGTCATAACTAGGGTTTGGTGTTTTCGGTTCAAAGCGATAAAAGTATGCCGAATTAACTTTCGGAAATTCGGTTGATCCAGTCTTCCTGTGTCAAGTTTGCTCTTGTCCTCTCAAGATAGTCTCAACTGCTGGCATTGTATTTTATTCCTTTGATTTTTTCTCAAAGAGAAAGAGGGCAGGTCATCTTGTCTGATCTAATTCAGGTTGTATTGTAGGGGACACCGAAAAAAAACACGCTACTATCTAGCACACACCATCACGCTTCCACTTTGGTTAAAAGAAATTCAGTTTGCTGCTGTACGAGCATGTTGCCAGTAGAAACTAACCAGCTTTGGCAGTCCTCAAAATGGGAAGGAAGAGAAGGCATGCCAAAAATGATCATTGTCTAGAACAGCACATAGAGTCTGCGCACCACATCAAAGTGAAAACTACACTGTCCTAATTTCTTTAAGGAAAGTTGAAAATACAGCAACAGATAAAATAGTTAAGTGCCTAATGTACTGCACTTTGGATGGACAAGCATAAAAAGAGTGTATTTCATCATTACATATTCATAGACAAAAACCGGTTAACTTGCATCTGTAATATACTTACCAATAAAAACCAAAACATCATTATTCAGCAAGGTTTCGTAGCACCATGTGTCCGTCTGCAACAACGGTAACTCACAATCTTTGATCACTTCATTAATAAGGCGATCCGCCGCGTGTGAATGTAATTGCGGGTTTTTTAGGACGCTTAGAACTCGTAGACAGAGTTATGATCATAAAAGCACTTTAGTGCCCCTTTAAGTGTTCCAGAAACACAGTTCACTTGCCTTGACATCTTTTCTTTTTTAATACAGTTGCAGCAAGAGTTTACTGCTGTGACAAGCAAGTCAATGGAGGTCAGCTTGGCGGCCTGCCTGTCCGAGAGCTGCCTGCGGATCTTGGATGCCGCTAGGAAGAAGCGACACCTGTGTAGCTTTTTCGAGGATCTGGACCGACGGGTCGCACAAGGGGACAAAGGCCCGGAAGATGGTAGGACTTGATGGTTCAAATAACTTGGGGTTGATAAGATGGATACTGCAGGAAGGCTACAATGCTCAGTCTTCCTGTGCTTAATCTTTGTTTAGATAGATTAGGTAGAAAGGAGAGAAATGTACTATTTGGGCGTGTTGGTAGCTTTTATACACTTAGAAAGAGGAGACACATAAGAGATGACACAGACAGGACAATCTTTCACCTTTGACTACATTTCTTTTAGACTTCAAGCACGACGTACAACCATTCTGTGGGAAGAAGATAATGGGTAATTGCTTGGGGGAAGGGGGCACAAAACGATTGCAAGCCAGGTGGAATGCGAAGGTATGGACACGAATAACGCTGCTTTGGATTCCTAACATGCAATTTTTATTCACGGGGGAAAATGCCCTGGCTGCGCTCCTAATTTCGCTGCCATGACGAATTTGGGGAGCCACTGCAAGTTTGTCAGAGAAATAATCTAGGCTTTTTGGATGTTGACTGAGCCCACAGAATATTAGGTTCCCCACCCATCTCTCTATAGCAAAAAGGATTAGCCATTCTGAGGCTGACAATGGACGTTGAGCATTGAAAAACACTGTAAGGCAATGAGTTCAGCAGAGTCTACTACGCAGACGCCCCTTCTCGCTGTAATTCCCATCTGCCCCCCCGCCCCTTCCGCTTAGAAGCATCTTTGTATGCCAATCCTTTTGCCCCCCCCCCCCCCCCCGTCTGACTTAAAGGGGCCCTGCAATCATATTTAGGCGTCTACCTTTTTTGTGGTTTCCAGGTCTCTTGGGGTTCGGGCAAGCCAGCAGGCACGGAGAGAGTAACTAAATATGAGTGCGTCATATTTTAACCGGACGACGCGGAACCTCCTCCACCGACGAGGGCGACTCGCGTTGGCGAAAGCGCGCGATATCTGACGTCTTTGGTCCTGGGCTTACTGCTGGTCAGAACCGCTAAAATCTTTTTTTTAGTCGAGATACAAAATATAAGTGTCGCGAACCGTTTCAGTTATGTATGAAAGTAGTTTTTGTTCTGTAAATGAGATCAGAAAAGAAAAAAAATGCAGTTTATAAAGTACGGAAACAAGAAATGACCCGTCGACATACCCTCCACCAAGCGGCGAAAAAAACGGCGCATACTAGAAAGGGCTAGTGCGATGAGGCGCCGACGAACGGCGTGCGTAGAAAGGTCCCGGATGTACGCGGCGGCGCTGTGGTCGAGGATCCGACCGGTTCCGAGCGTCCAGAAGGCTTTCGGCGCCGGCTTTGCTGGCGGTTTTGCCATTTGGCGGTATGGCAGCGCGAAGTGGCTCCCGTTCTGCACTGATATTTACCCCGTGTTTGCTGTCGTTTGTGGCCAGTGAAGTGTTATGCCGAATTAGTCTTTAATCGTGCAGCAAATGCAATGCGAGCCGCCCTGACCGCCTGCTTCATACAGCCGATCCAACGGGCGCTTTAGTGGCGCCCTCTCGAGCCGTCGACACGGAGTACGGCAGCCGTGAGCGCTCGATGAGCTCACTATCCCTCCTCTAGTTCACGGCCGCTCAAGCCAGGACCTACTACGTTATGAAGGAGGTTATTTTTTGCTTGTTTTTGTGATTCTAATTTGCCTAAAACTTTTAAACTAAAGCGAAATTTGAGAAAAGAAAAGTTTCATTAAGTTTCTACGTTCAGTGCGCTCAGGATCGGTGCAAATTAAAAATCAGTCAAAAAGTTGTTGCAGGGCCCCTTTAAGCATTTTCCTATTCCCTTTTTCCCATGGAGTGGGGCACCATGCTTGATAAATGTAGTTAAAGTTGAAAGATGGTCCCATCTGTGTCGTCCCCTATTCATTTCCTCTTTCTAGTTGTTTGAGAGAAATGTTGCATGTGCTCTGTAATAGTTTGTTATCTAGTCTCAATAGTATTAAGTTTGAGCCAACATGCCTTATTCGCATTGAGACCTAGACTTAGTTGTGTGGAAGCGTGCTCTTGCTTGTCTATGGTTTCCTATGAGGCATGTGGTAATGAAAGTTGGCTACCGTATTTATTCGAATCTAGGCCGGCCTGATTCTAAGCTGACCCCAGAAAGTTTGAAGCCAGCAAAAACAAAAAAAAAACTAGCCTCGAATGTAGGCCGAGCCAAAAGACTAGGACACCATTCACAAAAATGAGACATTTATTGGACATGAAGATGTTCAATCTTCATGTTCACCGGATTATGAAGAGGCTGTGGTGACGGCCTTTCACCGGACCACGAAAAGGCCGTGGCGACGGCCTTTAGTGGTCCGGTGAAATCCATCCTCGTTGCGGCGCACTCAAATATCCTCTCCCGTTGCCTCCTGCAACGACGGACAGTTCTTTCATCCATGCTGAAGTCCCGCCCGGCTTCAACGTTCGACGACAACTCTGCGGCTGAAACAACTTTTCTTTTAAAAGCGGAACTATAATGGCAAAAAAACGCCATGCCGCACGCAGGCGTGCGGCGTGGCGTTTCAAGTATTAATGCAGGTGATACTTGATAGTGGTGATACTTGATAACTCCCCATCTACTTAAGTGGCTACTGGCTCGGCTAGTAATGGCTACAATACTTTCTTTTCTAGGTGGCGCCAGCTGCGCGCCACTTTAATTTTACTTGGAAATTGGCACATGTTTTAAAAACCTCGAATCTAAGCTGACACTAGAGTTTGATGTATTGGTATTGGAAAAGACTATCGGCCTAGATTCGAATAAATACGGTAAATCAGGAAAAATTACCAGTGAAAGTGGCGTGGCAGTCTGGACTGAAGGCGATGGTTATGCATCGGCACAGCCATGCTAAATAATGTTGCCCAGAGTTTGTCAGGGAGTTTTATCAAAATAGTCGGGAAGAAACTTGGAAAAGTCAGGAAATTTGAACTCAGTAATTTGGTAGACACCCTGGGTAATTCCCTTATGTCCACAAAGCAGCTGGGTTCCAGGCATTTACACTAAAAACACGGAAAAGGGTACAATGCACAAGCTCTTAGCTTGAAGGGTTGATTTCAATGCACAAGCACGTGCATTACATTCGGGCCTACCTCAGCCTCAACCTCACGTCTGTAGCATTCTAGTAGCTAAGAGCAAAACCTAGTTTCCGAGTAAGAGTAAAATAGATAGTTGTACGCCTTTTCATCATATCAGCCATGATGCTTGTATATCGAAGAGAGTAGAGGTTTTCATATTCTGAGGCAGCATAAGCCAGAAATATTCTTAAGCAACCTTCTGGTTCAGGAGCATGACCTGCTCATACTTTGTGCTGTGTTTTGCCATTTTGTGACTTGTACAGCCAATGTCCTTGAGCCATTTTATGTTTTCGTGGGCAGTTTGTACTAAACGTCATCATGGCCTTTATCATTACAGAAGTTTTGACAACGGCTGCTCTTTATGTATTGCCGTCGTTGGTTAAGGAGAGAAGCTCTGCCTTTCTCTACCCACATGTAAGTTTCAGGGACCAATCTTGTTCTTCACAGTTTATAATGTAATTGCAGCTTTTTAAATGACTTTGAAGCAGTCTATATACATTCTTACCTGGCTCTTATAAGGCGGCACTAAATTTCTTTTTATGGTGGTAACTTCATCTACACACTCTAAGGTTTTAAAAACCCTGAATTGTGTTGTGTGGGAATATTTATGCAGCGCGGTTTTTGTCTGCATTCAAGTGATGCGACATGTCTCGCACTGTAGATGAGAAATTTAGCCAAAGCAGTACAACCGCCAGCCTGGGGTCTTTACGTACGTAATGCAGTAGTGAAACACGAACGTGTGCCGGTACGATGCTCATCCAGATTGAAACGGGTAGGGGTAGGGACTGAACCCAGGATCCCTGGATTCTGCAGTGCAAGCTTTCGCTACACATACTCCTAGCTGCGACACGGTGCGCTAGGCCACCGATCCCCCCTTAAAAACCTTGGAATTGCAATAATCTGTGGCTTATTCCCATATTCATACCTGCCAACTCTTCTGAGTTTCCGAATTTTGCTTCAAATCTTACGAAAACATTTTATTTATTTATTTATTTATTTATTTTTAATTCGTTGTTGGCAGTATCTTGCACCACCACAAGAGGGCGATAGGTACTGTCCACGGCAGCGTCGTGGTCCTTACCGTCTTTACTATCCGTGTATCCGGTGGCCACGGATCGGTCCACAGGTTGGCAGGTATGCATATTAGAAAGGTGACCAAACATCGTTACACGCCCCTTGTTCTGAGATATATTGCAGAGTGAAGTTGCCAAGAAAAAGGGAGCTCCTCGACTAATTGCAAGCAATAGCCTGCGGTTACCCATTTTATGACCTTGCCACACATTTTTTTATCAAGTTGACAGCTCATCATCAGAAGGTCTCTGTTGTAGATACAGTCTTTTGGGTATTGTGTCCAAGGTTGGCTTAAGGGTTAAATCTGTCTTCTTTTGGGGGACTGGATTTCGTGTGTTAAGTGACCAGCCGTTCGAAGAAAATGTTTCGATTGTTTTCATTGCCTGAAACGGCTAACAACTATGTATGAGGGCAGTTTCAAAATTTCAGAGCAAACAATGACCTAGATTTATATTGTAATTAGAGTTCTAGCTGGTTGCAGTGATTATATGTAGTGGCCATAGCTCTGAAACATTACGCATTACTTGGACAAATAGTGTCGTATTTCTCGGCTTTACATTGTCATGCTCTAGGCATATACGTTTAGTGTCCTGATTGTCACAATTTCAAATGGCATTTTCATACTCCCCATGCCTGCACTGATCACTGAACAAGCACATTTGAACTTTAATATGCATGTACATGGTAACTGAAAAAAGAAACAATTCGTTTTCCAGAACAATATTATCCCCCAAAAAATTATTTTGAGTTAGAAACCGAATAACGTGTGCCGAATTCAACAGAACTGAAAACGCTAAACCCCATGTATATTGCATCGGACGCTGTAGGAATATTTAGGATCCATTTGAGAACTCAAAATGCCAAAAATATTAGAAGAATTACTATAGCACATTGAATTTCAATGCTGTGTGTCCTCACTTCCTACTCTTCTTACTGCTGTTATTTTTTTTTTGCATTTATCTCTGCATTTTTACTTAGGTGCTTGCATTAATTTTTATGTCTGCTGTAGTAAGTGCTTTGGAAGTGTACATATATGATTTTATGTAATCCTGCTTTTTTGCACCATGCAGATTTGGTAAATTATACACAAAATGTGTGCATCTTAAAATTTTGAGCTCTGCGAAACCGGAACATACCTATCTTTGTCTTGCACTGCTGTAAGCTGCGGCAAACCATGACATTATTGCCATGGTGACCGTAGCTGACTTGGCATGGCATTAGTAAAAAAGAGAGCGTGGTAGTGGTAGCAGAGGAATGTGATAATGCACCTTGCACTACATTGTTGTGCTCAGTGCGCAACAGCTTAGGGCACGTAGAGTGGTAGGTCATATTGCGGAACCCAGGGAGACATTGTTCAATTTCTGTCTATTTTAATCTGAATGAGCATCATACTGGCATTTGTTTGTGTATCTACTATGTGAGCGTATTCTCAATCCTATGTTAGCAGTCTTACTGTGCTCACCAAATCACCCATCTACTGCAGAGAACTTATCTGGCCCTTTTGAGGGCTGACTAACTTCATGTTGTCTAAACATCTGCGCAACACAACTTTTTGGGTGGATTGCTTGGCACTTTGTCTCACTTATACAATAACATAATTACAAAAGAAAATATAGAATTTGGAAATGTGTGCCATGGTATTTGTTAATATAATGCTTATTTTTTTTTACATTTCTTTAGGACCCAGACGCACTTCAAGCGTACCCAGCAGTGAGCTATGAGGAGAACATCTATGAGTCGTCATCGTTCGTTGTGACCGTGGATGGACTTCATGTTAAGGAAGACTCGCTGCTGGCTGCAATTACAACCATGACTGCCATGTATTGGGTGTTCAATATGGAATTTAGTCCAAGAGCCTCCAAGACAATGCAGTTAATGTCACATGTGTTTGGGGTTAATTCTGGCATCCCAGCTAGCCCTTTGGTGCGGGTGGCCATAGGTATTCTTTGTGGCTAGGTTATCCCACCGGCAGCTGTACACCTTGTAAAGGTTTCTTTTTTATGAATTTCAGGCCAAATTTTAATGAGAAAACTTTGCACCACAGAGCAAAGAGGTTGATCTCATTTTTCTATCTAAAACAATTAAGGTGGGAGGCTGGTCTTTAACTTTTCGTTTTTTATTTTTCATTTATCGGGCTGAACTTTAGTATACTTATGTATTTCTGAGTGATGATTTCAAATAAGCAATTAGTTTTCAGATAGCTTCATTAGATTTTGAGTTATTAATAGATTTATCATTTTAACTAGGTCCTCCTTACGGGCCGTTACCATAAAATTGTCAGAATATATCAGAAATATCTATAGAATTGCATTGACCAAGACATGTTTTGTGCGGTGATGCTATTTTAAGCCTGATTTAATGATAATACATCGGTAAAAAAACATTTGCAATCAAGTTGCACAAAACGGGAGGCTCTATCTTTTTGAGACTAATTAATTAAAATTATTGTATGAGCTATAAAGCAACAAAAATAGCATCACCGCACAAAACATCACTTGGTGATTTCAATTCTATAAATATGACTGATATATTCTGAAGAATTTTACGGTAACGGCCTGTAAGCAGGACCTAATTAAAATGACAAATTTATTGATAACTCAGGATCTACTAAAGCTACCTGAAAACTAATTGCATATTTGAAATCACCACTCAGAAATACATCAGTATACTAAATTTTAGCACGATAAATGAAAAATAAAAAACATGAAGTTAAAGACCAGTCTTCCCCCTTAATAATGTTTGGAATAAAAAGGTGTTCAGCGTTTTGATCAATTTGCTTTTTAATTAACAAAGCTACAAGCATAAATCAATTAAGAAACTTGGGCATCACCGAAAATTACTAAATCTTTGTACTTCAAAAAGATGCAACATGCATGCCACATTTTACAGTATCCTGAAGAAAATGTGCTCTATGAAAGCACCTTAAATTTACGCTTTAATGATACTTTTTTCAGAACGTTGTAAGAATGCTATGCACGCATACCTTTGTAAAGTGAGGCAGTTTAGTGGTATTGCATTATACGTAACGAGTTTTTAATTTTCATTTAATTATGCTCTTATTTTTGTTATTTAAAAGTTAATTATTTGTAAATAATTAACTACCTTTATATTCCCTAGGCTATTAATTTTCCTACGTTTGGCCTTATGATATCAGCCTTTTGCTGTGGGTGCATAGTTCTGGTGGGAACAATTTGGCCTGCACTTTCTGTAGCACTTTGTAGTTTTATACTTCCACTTGTTTCCAGAATTTCCATTTCACTATTTTTATTTTTTTATTTACTTATATCATTGTCTCCTGATGTTCCAGAATCTCACTTTATTTTTTTCACACCACATGTGCAATTTTTTTGTTAAGAATTTAAACTTGCAAAGGCTCTGAACTAGTGATGTGCTTTGTAGCACACTGTGATAGAATTCAGGCTCACTGTACTAATTTTGTAATTTTTTTTTATGTTTTGAACTGCAGTTCTTGACTTTGCGTCATGCATAAGGCATGTGGAATTCCATCTTCCTAATTTGTTTTTTATCAATGTCAGATTACATCATGTTTTATGTGTTTTACATCAGATGTGCATTGTTTTTGTTTAGAATTCAAGCTTACCTATAGTCTGATCTATAGTCATTGACAGGTTAAGAACCCAGTACAAGCCCCCCCCCCCCCCCCCCCCCCCCCCTTCCCTAAAGCTGTCTAGTCTTATCACCTCAGCACAGCAATTGCTGGAGATGGTTCGAGGAGGGACTCACCTCCTCTCCAGCATTTGCTCAAGTGGTGTAGAGCTTTGCGGGGCAGCTTGTCCTGGGTTCTCAACCTGTCCCTGACTATAGTGCCGTGCCTGCAGTGCACCCTGTGATAGAACTCCAGCCCACTGCCACTTTCTTTGTCTTTTGTTTACTTGTTTTACTTGTTGGATGTGTTCGTAATTTTCATCTTCACAGTTAGCTTTTGCTTTTTTTTATTTTCTTATATCAGTGTCTCTTAATGCCCCAGAATAAGTCATATTTTATGTTTTTTCACCCCATATGTGCAGTGTTTTTTGTTTAGATTTCAAACGAACGGGCTCAATTAACTGGTCCATGCTGTGATACAACTGAAGCTCACTGTACTACTTGCATTGTATTTTGTTACATGTTTTTAACAGCAGGTCTCAAATAAAGGTGTGATTGACTTGAGCTGCAAACTGAAAAACCATCGAGGCAACAGCAGTGCATCTTCAAGCGTACAGCTTGTCCTAGGGGACAAAAAGCAAGGGCTCAAATATTTGTCCCTATGGAACAAATGTAATGGATTAACATTTACTCCTTCGGGATTAATATTTAGTCCTGTGGGACTGAATGTGTGGGATTAACATTTAGTCCTAGGGGTCTAAGGGGTGGGTGCATGTGTTAGTCCTAGAGGACTAAATGGAAGGGCACTACTGTTAGTCCCAGGGGTCTAAATGCAAGAGCACAACAGTTAGTCCTAGGGGTCTAAGTGGTGGGTGCATCTGTTAGTCCTAAGGGACTAAATGGAAGGGCGCTACTGTTAGTCCCAGGGGTCTAAATGCAAGAGTGCAACAGTTAGTCCTAGGGGGACCAACTGTGAGGGACTATCCGTACGGGTGCAACAGTTGCTCCCATCCCCGTTAGTCCCCAAGGGGACTAATGGTAGTGTCAGCGCATTTACTCCCCGAAGGGACTAAATCACGCTCCCTTTTTTCTTAGAGTGTAGGTAAGGCTCGAGGTGCGCGATGGTTCCGTCGCAGACGCTCTCCAAGTCATCTATTCGCTTTCTCAAATCGTTTATTTCTCTCCTATAAAGTTCCAAGTCTCGGTCTTGGCGCAGAATGTCGGATACATTGAAGGTTTTATTTCCCAATCGCACGTAGTCCTCTACGAAAGGCGCAATCGCACCTTCCTCGTCCGCCAAGTAGGCTTCGCGGCGTTCCAACTTTACCGGGATCCATTCGTCGTTGTCGTCGTCGACGACCATACTACTTCTCTGCCTCTTAGCGGACAGTGTCTCGAGATAGCGTCAATGTAGCAGGTCCCTCGCCCTAATCAAGTTGTTGTACATCATAGTTTCTCCGACTGACACGGGCGCGTCCACCTTGCGAGCCAGGATCTGAAGGGCGTCGATAATTTTTTGAGGAGACAGCGAAGCGTCGGGGTGTGCCTCGGCAAAGTCCAGAATCTCCTGGACCACGCGCAGCGAATCGTCCCACTCGTTTCGCAGGCGAACGGCCTCGGCGTGCCTCTTGATGTAGTCCAGGAGAGCGTGTTTGTACAAGTTTTCTCTGTTTACGGGACACGTCATTTTTTTTTCCTCTCTATCAACAGACCTCGAATATGGCCCGGATGTCGTAGCGTAACTTCTTGCTGCCTCGAACGCTGTCGGAGGAGTCGACGGCGTACTGCCGCTGTCCCAGCCGACTTCCTCGAACAAAGTTCATTTCCAAGTCGGACAGGTTCAGGGCCGGAGGCAGCGTCGCGTGATCCGGATAGAAATCGCCGACTCCTTCACCGCTCCTCCTCCTGAGAAACTTCCAATAGGTCTTGTTGTAAATGGACGCGTCGCCGCTGTCGTAGACGGCGTACGCGTTGAGTCTGCCGTCCGCCACGCATCTCACCTCGTGGCGCACGACTGTGTTTACGTCCACGTCTCGAATGTCCGTCGAGTACGAGGCGTCTCCGTTGGTCAGGTAGAGGCTGTAGTCTCTAAAATTGCCCACGACGTTCTTGCCGTACTGCATGCACTTGCGCAGGTTCTCGTCCTTTTCCAGCTCGGACGCAAAGCCTAGGATGCTACCAGAGATGTACGCGTTGCCCAGAAACCACCAGCTAGGCACCGCCCCTTTTGACGTGAGAACGGGGAGCGGAGTGGTGAACGTGTTTCTGTCCGAGTACGAGAGGCCTCGCTTCACTTCGTTCAGGGTGTTTATCACGCTCCAGACAAAAAAGATGCCGTTCAAAAGGCAAAACTCGGCTCCGTGCTGTCCGCGCTTGGATATTGGCCCGCCGGCGATCCGACCAAAGACTTGGGCGTTCATGGTCCTGTAGCCAATCTCAAACACGTACGCCATGTTATGTTCGTGCGTGCCGACTATAACGGGAACCGGCTCGTCTCTCTCCGTGCGCCTCACCATCGTTTCGCGCGTGGTTCGCGGAACGAGGTTGCTATGATCCATCGAAAGGCGGTAGAGAGCAATCTTGCTCAGGCCGTCGAGCCAGGCCGAAGGCCCCAGGTACTTGACCAACGGACTGGCGGCCGTTCTATCGTCGCTCTGTCTAACAAACTTGCGGTATATGCCGCCGCCGATGGCACCGGCGTACCTGTTTTGTGCCATTGAACGACGCATGACGCAGTGCGGATACACGAAGCGCAAGTCGTCTCGAATGGCGGTTTGAATAAAGTTTGCCAACGGATTCGGCGACGTCGCTATGTTTAGTTTGCCGGCGGCCACGGCAGCGAGTACGTTGTACAGCTCGTCGAGGCTATAGTAGACCGTTTTTAAGAGCGGCTTGTGCTTGTCGTCGGGCCCCACTATCGTAGTAAACAGGGGCTTTACCGACCCCACGTACACGTTGCCGTCGGGAGTCTTTTGAAACTGAGAGGAACCGGATAGGTGTTCCACTTCCGAATTTGCCACTTGGGTGAAAGCGTCGGTCACCATGGTTGTCCAGTAGTGGGTCAATTTGACGGACAGATCGTCGTTCTGTATGCCCGACGGTTGATCCGGAGCCCCGACAAAGTCCTCGTTCAGACATTTGCGTATAATTTGCGCGACGACGTTGTATGACAGCATTTTTATTAAATAAAATGGAGACGTTACCCACTTTTTCGGCCTTCCTACACAACCTGGCCAACGTGTACTGGGCCGGCTGCTCGCCCTCCAATTCGCTCAGGATCCCCAAAGACTGGTTAACGGCTTTCTCGTCGACGCCAACCAACTACGTTTTGGCACTGGGCGAGCCGTCGACCACCGTCCAATCGCGAGACGTAGGCACGACCGGTGTGCTTCCCAAGTCAGACTTTCTCAAGGCCGAGGAAAATCGTGCCGGTGGAAATGCGAATAACCTGTCGATAGTGGTGGTGGACGGCGTTCAGTACGACGCCAGGGAAAAGCATTACGTGAGACTCCAGCGAGTTTACGGCGAACTGAGCGAGAGCGCACCGACCCTGCCGCCTGGA